TAAAATACAGTACTTGGGAAAACCTGGAGGAAAGGAGAAACTTCCAAACTGGAAAGAAGAATATCAGAATTTCATAAACTTCTTTATTAAAATTATACATTTAGCCCTTTAATCTTAGTATTTACAGACATCTTTATTACTATGATTACTTATGGGCCAAAATGGTATTTTAAATTATTTCATGAAGAAATTTTTAATGAATACTGGCAAATGTTGGGTAACAGGATCTCCTTGGAGGCAGAAATATGTACAAAAAAACATTTAATAAAAATGTGTGTCTATTTATTACACGTGCACAAAAGAAAGGATTGAAATAACTATAATGGAGCAGGCATTAGAAGATATAAGTGAAGATACTTGTACCATGGAAACAAGACAAAGACTGTCATACATTATCAAAGAAAATAATAAAACAAGAGTTAGGAAATTAAAAACTTTAACTAAAATTAAAATTTCATACATGGGGAGGGGGGATAAAAAGTTAAGGAACGTCTTCAAGGGAGTAAACAGAGAGACTGTAAATGGGAGAACAGAAAAATTTAATGAACACTAAAAACCAAATCAGAGAAAAGAATTATGAACACCCAAAAAAAAAAATGTAGGCAGATGGACATATACAGTTTTGCTTAGTAGTATGTATATAATATTTATGTAGTTATTAATACTGCTAAAATAATATACTTTAATATAAACAAATTATACTATGACTAAACTTTTAATATAATTACACTTAGTAGGAAGGTGAATGGAGTGGAGGGGGAATCTACCATTGATGTAGGAGTTGACATGAAAATTTTCTAATACAATAAGTCAAAAAACTAGTTCATCTAAACATGGTCAGGAAGTTATGGGAGGCAAATGTCAGGAGAAATCAGGCTGGGAATATGTTTGGGGGTGATTGGATGCTACAGGAAAGGAAGAAAGTTGAGTTTGGGAAGCGGTGGTCTGGGACTAGTGCTTTGTCATAAAGCTTTTAAGTACCATTTTGATGTTTTCCAAAGTACTAATAGTTACTGATATTATAAGCAGAATGTTCCGCTTCTGTACGACTAAGCCATAATTTAAATTAATTTCTGCGACCACTCCATAGGGTATCCCAAACTCAGTATTATCTACAGTAAACTCCCCTGCATTGTAACCAAAATCAACTTTCTTTCAAAACTCCTGTTGATGTTCTGACCTCCTTCCCATGATCGATGAATATTGTCTTAATGCCATCTAGGGAATGGTAAATCCTTTCAGAAGTTTTTCAATTGATTTTGCCAGGATCTATCAGGAGGGAATTCACTATTTTGTGGGCAGGAATTGCCTTATAAAAATGTATTTCTTAAATAAAGACCTGAAAAGTCAAAATGGACTCCTTGATCCATGGGCTGCAGAACGGATGTTGTGTTAGCAGGCCTGTAAGCAACATTATTCTCCTTGTATGTCTCCATTACGGCTCTTTGGTGACCACGGTGATTGTCAATGGAGGCAATAGGTATTTTGAAGGGAATCTTCTTTCTTAAGGCCACGTAGTATCAATATGGGCTTAATATTCAGTAAAGCCATATTATAAATAGATGTGCTGTCATACCAAGCCTCACTGGTTCCACTTTTTGACAATGCACAGCAGCGGGTTGATAGGGTGCACAGGGCAGAGAATCTTAAGCGGCTCTAGGACTTTTGGAATATAAATTAGCATGGGCTTCACTTAAAGTCACCAGCTCCATTAGCCCCGGTAATAAGAGAGTCAGGCTTCCTCTGAAGCTTTAAGGCCAGGGCATTGGACTTCTCCCGCTTCTCTAACTATAAAACTCCTAAATGGACATGACTACTTAGGATGACATTACTCTTGCGCAACAGAAAGCTGTTCCATTCTAGCATTTGAAATCTGTTGTGTAGTGCTGGCACCTTCATCAATTATCTTAGTGACTGACAGATGCTGCAGCTTCTACATGATGGTTACAGAGAGCAGCTTTTTGTTTCTACATCCCATGAACCTGCGCTAGCTTCAAATTTTCCTTTGCAGCTTGCCCACCCTCTCAAACCTTCGATAGAATTGAAAAGAGTTAGGGCCGATACTTCAAATTATCTTTGACTTTAATGAATGTTGTGGCTGCTTTGATTCCTGTTCTACGACAACTAAACTCTCTCCATATTGGCACTAAGGCCTTTTCGCTCTTTTATCATGTCAGTGTGTTTCACTGAATAGCATTTTCATTGCTTCAAGAATTTTTCCTTGTATTTGCAACATAGCTAACTTGTTTGGTGCAAGACATCTAGCTCTCCGCCTGGCTTAGCTTATTGACATGCCTCACTTCATAAGCTTATTATTTCTATCTTGTTGATTTAGTGAGAGATGTTGTGACTACTTCCTTTCACTTGAACAGCTTAGAGCAATGTTATGAACTGGCCTATTCAATATTTCTGTGTCTCAGCGAAAAAGAGGCCCAAGAAGAGGGAGAGCACAGGGGAAACGGCGGATGTGGGGCAGTCGGAACACACACGCATGAGTTATATTGCATCTTATACGGGCACGGTTCATGAAGCTCTAAAACAATGACAATAGTAACATCAAAGATCACCAAACACGACCACTATAACAGAATATTAATAACAATGTAAAAAGTCGAAATCTGTGAAATTACCCAAAATGTACCACAGACATGCTGTTGGAAAACGGTGCCAACAGACTTGCTTGATGCAGCGTTACCACAAACCTTCATTTTAAAAATGCATATCTGCAAGGTGCAATGCAAGCAAGCCACAATAAAACAAAGTATGCCTGTATATTTTGTATACAAATGCAGACTAAATAGTCTTTAGATGCTATGCAGGTAGACAAATATCAGATTTGAAAAGCTAGCCTCGCATCAGCTGCATGCTACTGAATAAGTTAGTTACTTCTTACCTTTGGTACCTTCAACGGTTATAAAGTGAGTATTAAATGATTAACAGCCAACAATGACATTGTGATAAATAGATTACATATAAAGTTCTTAGCATTTAACACAGTGCCTGGCAACAGTAATATCAAGAAGCATTAGCTATTAAATTAACATTAATAATAGGTTGCTTTAATAATTTAATACTGAAGGCTTATGCTTTAACCTTCTTATGCAATGAAATATCCCAACACCCGACACTCTTTCTCTGTGGAAAAAAAGAAAAAAAGTGCTCATAATGTATAGAACACAAAAAAAAAAAAAAAAAAAAAAAGAAATATGGAACTCTGTACCTTTTTTTAGGAATGGAACTTCCAGAAGAAATCTTCTTGAATGCTTCATAAGAATACATCTTCTCCAAATGAGACTGCTTTTAAACACATAAAAGTCCATTAGAAAAAGAAGTTGTAAATGTGAGGAAAATAAAGATGCAAAATCTCACAATGTCAATTTTTCCTTTGATTAATCAAGTCATTGAATAAACCACCCGAAAATAAGCTCATGAATTATCACCTTCTAGGGTTACAAGGCAGTTAGAAATGCAACTTAATGTCCCATTTCTCCCAAAACTATAGAAAATAATTTAAAAAATGCAAGAGTCAAAGTTACAAAAACAATTCCATTATTTAATACATCTTGCATACTTTAATAAAGCAGAAAGAGCTCACCAGAAAACCTAATTCATCACATTTGTCCATTATCCCAGTGTTCTAATTAGCTGAAGTCTGCCTGTGGGTTAGTATTTAATCTGTAATAGTTCTCTCAGCTCCAAAACAAAGCAAGAAAGTGTGTGCATGTAGCTTTAATGAGAACATTTTGGAATCAGGTTTATTTTTCTATCAACTATAAGTATTATAATATGTAAAGAAACCTCTAAGTCAAATGATTAGAAGGCTTAAAAGAATCAAAATGAGTTACTTTCTCAAATCCTTCTAATACTTCTATTAGCCCCCAAAATCATTTACCACATATTTTAGTCTTGCTCATTCCACTTCTCTTTCCAAATTTTGTGTTTTGTCATATATGCCATTTTCTCTTTAATTGGAGAATTAAAATATAAAATTTTAAAACAAGAGTTTCATCAATATCTTTAAAACAAACCACCTTTTCTGCAGTTAATTCAACCGGTCCTTGATTAGAAGAATGCTGTCCAATGCCTGAAGATACAGCTTTAGAGCTGAAAAATAGTAAAATTATCTCAAATGTTAGAATGCAATTATCTAATTCACGAATCATCACACTCCCACTCTGAGAAAGGTACATGAGATTATATTATTGCCCTTTTAGAACTGGTGATTTTTAAAACTGATGTTTTAGTTTTCCCAGAAAAAGCTCTAGGAGATTCAAGAAGTTTGAAAGAAAAAATTCATAAATGATAGGAAGCATGTAAAGGTACTAAAAAAGTAGGAAACAAGTACACATTCCCTTCCCACCTTCTACACATAAGAAAGAAATTGCTACATGGATTCCTCAGCATTGATCTCAATGCTGCTGCTGTAATCAATGGGAATGAAGCTTTCAGTGCTCCCCAACAACCAAGGAAGTATTCTATGATTTATCTTCCTCACGCAGACCCCTGCCTCTAAACAGACCAAAATAAGCACGGGAAAACAAACAAGTAACTTATTTTATCTGTGCAGTGCCTAAACAAGTAACTTATTTTATCTGTGTAGTGCCTATAAGTTGGTATAATGTGAATCATTTAAACAGCAACAACAACAAAAAAGAAATTAAAAGAAAAAAAATTGAAAAATGAACCTAGGCAGAAGAGACTTCGTTGGACACCATTCTTCATATTCATTAGCTTGAAGGATAAGTCTGGGAGGAGATTCTGTTTTGGCTTCAACAAGCCAATTTCTACCCTATCAAAAGCAAGAAGAATGTTTTAATGCACAGTGAGAAAAATTAAGTCAAACAGGCAGACTTCTAGATTGTTTACCTTTCCAGTAAGGGTGCAAATCTCTGCATATTTGTTATGCCCAGGAACTTTTTGCAAGAATCCCTCAGTTATGAGCTGACAGGAAAGAGCCTTCCACCAATTCTCCGTCTTATCCTTGCCAATGCCAAAGAAACGGTGAGGGCGATATTGATCTGGAAGACGCTGAGAATTCTGAAATCAGGAATAAAATCAATATCTTACAATGTTGATTTAATTAAACAGGTTAAGTAAAACACAAATCCATCTATTGACTCTTTGGACTTAACACTGAATTTCAACTTTAAAAACCTATAGAGTTTTTATACCTATCGTGCTTGTTGTGAACATTCAACTCACAAACATAGAAACAGTGTTCCTTTTGTGTTTTAAATAGCAGGAAATTTCACATATAATTCAGATGCATTTTTCAATGTATAGGTTTGGATATGTGTTTAGAATACTTAACCTTTGCTTTTTAGACCTCTGTTTAGCATACACACATTATTTTTTGAAAACACTGATCCTAATCTCCAGCTCAAGACTAGAACCAGTGTGACCAACAACAATGTGACCCAACATCTACTAAGCCACAAGTACAGTGCAACAACTCACAGCTTCCACTGCATGGTGGTTTTTATCGTGCTTTTTGTTCATGAGAAGCACTGAGTTTACTTAATCATTTTTGATTGAGCTGCTTCACTGAGACATACCAGGAAAAGCGATGCATGTGAAAACAGTTGACAGTTTTGAGGTATTTTCTTCTAAGAGAATTCCTATGGGAGATTTTTCACAGCCATCAAGTTCTAGAAATATTAGGGGAGCTGGCCTATTATATGCCATTCTCTTGTCCTCTAATGGAAAGGACTTTCCCTGCCTTCACTCTCTACAAAGTATTTTTCCATTCACTTTGTCCTCTTCCTGCCTCTTTCATTCATCCTACACATTTAAATACTACTTTCAAATGTGTATAGTAGTACATGAGCATGGGACTTTATAGAAAGTCATGCCTGTCTAATGTATTTGTGGTGAATATGGCAGGTTGTAATTCAAGGGTCATTCAAAACTCCATCTACTGTGACTTCTTCTACTGCAGAATCTAGGAAGTTACTTAATATCAACACTTTTTCAAACTCCCCTTCAGCTAGGGTTCTGGACATGATTTAAGTTCTGCTAATCAGATCTCTATCTGCATGACATGCGTAAGCAGAAAGTAAGGCAAAAGCTGCTACTCCTGCTATTTCTGCAGGCATACATGATTGTGAAGGTGCTTAATTTTCACAAGACGGCATCAGCAAAGAACCCAGCACACAACTACTAGATTCCTAAGTATGGAGAGGTATCCGTTTGTTTGATACAGATTACAGCAGGTAGAGGTTGGTTCTCAGAGCCAGCAGAAATAAAACCTTCCTGATGGTTACAACTTCCAACTCAGTGCTGTTTGGGGTCAGGTGCTGTAGAGGCAGCTGCCCAAGTTGACAGATAGTAAGTGCCTCTTCTGCAATCAAAAAGCTAACTAGACACTAAAAATTACTCTTCCAGCTTTTCCTTTCATAAGCAGAAAAAACCTGAAGTGAGCGTGCATATTTATTATTTTTTTTTTTTTTTTTTTTTTTTTTTTTTTTGAGACAGAGTCTCGCTTTGTTGCCCAGGCTAGAATGAGTGCCATGGCATCAGCCTAGCTCACAGCAACCTCAAACTCCTGGGCTCAAGCGATCCTTCTGCCTCAGCCTCCCAAGTGGCTGGGACTACAGGCATGCGCCACCATGCCCGGCTAATTTTTTCTATATATATTATTTGGCCAATTAATTTCTTTCTATTTATAGTAGAGACGGGGTCTCACTCTTGCTCAGGCTGGTTTCGAACTCCTGACCTCGAGCAATCCGCCCGCCTCGGCCTCCCAGAGAGCTAGGATTACAGGCGTGAGCCACCGCGCCCGGCCGAGCGTGCATATTTATTAGCATGAAACAATTGAGATTTTTTCTCATGAGTAGGGAGTAACTGTCTCTACCCCTCATGAGCAATAAGCATTGTCAGTACTGTGTACTATGTAGATAAATTCACATTGTTTTGTTTCCATGACAATCACCACACAGAGAATGAAATATCTTTGCTCTTTGATACAGAGTATCTTTGTTTTAAAGGCATCATAGTCCCTTTTCAACTAGAAATCCAAACTGAACCAAGTAACATTGTTTTAAAAACCCAGAATTAAAACAGGATACAGTAAGAATTTTCAACAACAAATGTTTAATGATTTCTCACTCTTAGCAAGGCATCCTTCATTAATTCCCTAAGTGTTCTAGTTAACATAATTGTGCAGATTATCCACTGATAGCATAAAACTACCTAGGATGAGAAAGTCATGACAAAGTTCAGCACTTCAATAATGTGATGATATGTATATAACATGTACAGAGAATACAGTGTAGGGATTTGGGCATTGATTTTTGTAGAGTGGACTACTCCAAATGGGCAATGATTTTTAAGGAGGGCACAATTTTATACACACATTCCTTACCAATTGAAAATTTTCATTCTAGTATCTCTAGATCATTCAATTTAAAAATATGAATTTAAAAGTGTAACAGCACAATAAAGAAGAAAGGCACTAGACTAGTAGGCAAAAAACCATTTGCTCATCCAATTCTGGTACAAAGCAACCATATGACCTAGAACAGGTCATTTAACTTCCATTTTAAGTCCATTTCAACTACAGTAAAATAAGGTGATAGGGTTAGTCTTTGCCAGTTTTAGCTCTAAGAGGCTATACTTCTACAGGATGTAATCTCAAAAGGGGAAATTTCACCTTGTTCTTTTCCTTTAAAAATCAGATGGGAAATATAAGGGTCACCAAAACTACATACCATGGAATATGGGAATCTATTAATTGATGGGTAAGAGCTGGAATAAAGAGAACTGACTGGCCACAGTATACAATGCAAGGTATGAGTTCCTGATAAAAGCAAAATCTTTGCCCCACTATCCAATAGAGCAGTGGTCCCCAACCTTTTTGGCACCAGGGACTGGTTTCATGGAAGGTAATTTTTCCTGGGGTCAGGGGCAGGGTGGGAGGTGGATGGTTTAGGAATGATTCAAGCACATTACATGTATTGTGTACTTTATTTCTATTATTATGACACTGTAATATATAAGGAAATAATCACACAATTCACCGTAACACAGAATCAGTAGGAGCCCCGAGCTTGTTTCCTACAACTACTGCTGCTGCGGATCTGGGAGGAGGCGCAGCTCAGGAGTGATGTGAGCAATGGGGAGTGGCTGTAAATACAGAGGAAGCTTCGCTTGCTCACATCCTGCCCGTGGGGCCCAGTTCCTACCAGGGGTTGGGACCACAGTAATAGAGATGAAAGGAAAAAAAAAAAAAAAAAAACACCACCCTGCTACTTCTCCATATTAACTTCTTTAAAAATCGCAATTGCTTTTCGTGGTAATTCTTTCTGCTGTGAATGCCGTAGTATTCTCTACCCATCTTCCCTCATTCTACCTCTGAATGAATATCCAAATAGACAACATTTCGCCAAAATCTACCAGAGTGCCTCATAAAGTAGGAAGCTCTAGTGATACCCTCCACAGAGGCTTCTCTAATTTCCCTCAGCACCAGCTCTTCAGAACTTCAATAATACTGCATATCTATTCATACGTCCCTTATCTCTACATTATACTTATTTCCTCCCAACTGGATGGAAAGTCTCATCTAATTTAGCTTTGAATCCCCCACAAAATACAATACAGTGTCTTCCACAAAAATACATATTTAACTAGTGGAACAAAAATATTAATAGTTATAAACTCCAACCCAAGGAGTTTTAAATTCCTGAGTTCTAAAAGTACAAAATAAGCCCATAGCTTTTCTTAAATATTTTAACTTTTTTTTCTTTTTAGCCTCTATCCCAGTTCCTACAGGCCAAAGAAGCTCACAGCTACCACTACGGAAAGTCATTGTGATCCATAATTCTATGTGTAAAATAAAACCAATGATAAAGTAACAATTATCATTAGAATATATTTCAATCAGATGAAATAGCCTGTCCATAAAATTAAATGGATAACTGTCTCCTGTTAGTTTCAAAATTATAAAGGGTAATTCAAACTACCAATAGTCCAATAGCTGCCTATTGTCAAATCATATTTTATCAAACGTGTTATATACTTCTAGAGCCATGATAAAGTTTAGCAATTTGATAATGTGATCAGTAAAGAGGTTTCACTTAATCTCCTGGTTATACAAAATAATGACTGTGTTTCTCTTTCCTAATCTATAAAATTGAGGTCACTGCACATTTTATCACATATTCACACAGGGTATTTAAAGATTTTTATATGGTGAGCTATTTAGATAGCCAAAACAAAGTTCTTTAGGCAATACTTTCACTATTTAATTTCTAATCAAATTTATGCTGTAAAAACAAAATTTTAAGCTCCATTCACAAACTCGTGGAGAGGCTGCATAATTGTTTATACCATTTAGAAAAATCTTGTGTAAGAGAATCATGTGCTGCTGAAATTATATCTGTTATATATTTACATATATTATCTTTTTAAACAAACTCCAATAGTTCCCAAATTTACAAAGAATTAGTTTTTCCTAAATTCGTTAAGGGGAACAATTTACTAAATTCTCAGAGGAATTACAATGTTAACTTTAAAAATGATATCCCCGTAGATACCAAGATCAGTGAAATGAGGGGGAAAAAATTTGCCTATTTTTTGCTGCAGTTAGTGTCTACAAATCTTCATTAAGTGGTACTTTTTAAAAAGCTTTTCACTTTTATCTAGCAAGGGTAGTATAAAATTTCACAAATGATAAACTTCTTAATTTGAAGACTCCCAGAAGAGACTGCTGGTGTAAGTGGTCTGACTTGGTTTTTTAATAGGTGAAATCTGATCCCTCTTGTGACCGGTTCAAGTTTGTCTAGGAACCCACTTATTTGTTGATACTGGATACGGCTGGATTATTCCAAATTAAAACAAGGACAATTTTGATAAATTATACATTCAACTGGGATACACAGGTTTTGAAGGTGATAGAGATACAAGAAATTTTCATAGATCTCAATTATATTTAAGCTGTCCCTTACAACTGAAATTTCTTTTTATAAAAAATATAGTATTACTCATAGCAGCTAAAGTAGTTCCTTAGGCAACACTTCTATAACTAATCAAACTTGTGATTTGTAAACAATTTAAACTCCATTTAAAATCTAAAAACATCAGTACATGAAAAGTTAAGAGGTTTTAAACATATTTCATTAAAAATATTTCACAGCTAATTTAATATATTCCTTTCTAAACAAAATAAAAACTCAGAAAATATTCATGTGAAGCATTTGAGTATTTAACAAATAAATGCTTACCTAAATGATTTTTTAAATTCTACACATAAAATGAGAATTTTAATCTCTATTTTAAAGTATATTTTTAATAAATATGTATATTTACAAAGTATGCTATCTCTCACTCTTGATTTATTCAACCAGTATCAATCTATAATACTTTTGTTTTACAGACTTCTAAATCAGGAATCACATAAACAAAAGGACTACAGAACAAGTTCTTGGACTATGAGAGTCAGTCTTACTCAGATTTGTACCTGCAATGTAGCAGAATGCTGATGTACTAATCACTCCAAAAAAAAGGAGTTGAATTGACTATGAATTCATTGGGAAAGCAAAAACACACCAAAAAGCAAAAAAAAAAAAAAAAATGCTTTCTTAGAATTTTAAATACTTCTGATAAGAACAGAAGGAAAGATTAAAAACAAAAAAACAAAAAAAACTTCCTGCCAAATATCATTATTGAAATTAGATACTCACAAAACAATCCCTGAAACTAAAGTTTTACTCAAAGTATTTAGCAGTTTCCTGGGCACTAAAAGATACAATTTTGTTCTGCCTGTCCCTTGACACAATGAAAGTTAACTTTTCTTAATTATCCTAGGAAAGACCAGCCAAGGGATTCACCCAACTGCAATGTGATAAACTAACACAATGCCAGACTGCCATGCAGTGCTGAATAGCAGCTGAACATGAAAACAGCAAAGGTATCATACACACAGGTTGTTTTATCCAGTCATGAATGTAGTGTTTAACTGGAACTTAATATGACTCTCTGAATTTCTAATAAACCCATTTAAAATGAAAGCTACAATCGTAATACAGCAAATTTCTGAAGAAAAGAGTAACAGGAGTAAAAGAACTATGGAGGGAATTCACTGATATACTTACAGATCCTCGGAGAAATAAAATTGGAACCCTAATTCCAAACTTTCCTCCTAAGATGTCCACAGCAGATAGCAGCTGAAATGCTTGAGGACCAAAGTCTTGGAATGTATCTTCTGAGGAATAGCAATGACCAAGTCTAAATAACAATAAATTAAGAAATTAGCCAAGGCATATACTTTTAAAAATAAAAAGATTTCATGTAACAATTAGCCAAGTAAAAAATATCTCAAATGTGCCAACTGCTTCAGAAGTTACAGATAAAGTTCATTACAGCCAAGAGTGTGGGTGTAGTGAAAACATGAAAAATAAACTATAACATAACAGCTATAACTGTAGAGAAGAAGTTCCAGCAAGCAGTGTGGCAGTATTTACAAGCAGAACAGTTCCATTTGATTGACTATGTAAAATATTGAACTTCTCTGTTAGCTTTTGTTGGACAAAAAAGGCCTGTTACAAAAAAAAAAAAAAAAGAGGGGGTTTTAACTTTAAAAAACAAACAAATCCAGGTTGGCACCTCCTGCTGCTGCTGCTTGTGTGCTCATTCAGGGCAGACCTGGCATTTCTTTCCTGAAGCCGCGGCTGAGGACACTCCTGAGCTAACTGTGGCCAAGGAAAAGCCCATGGAAGGAATCAAGACTGAGAATGACATTACTTCTTAAGGTGCTAGGGCAGGACGGTTCTGGGGGTAGTTTAAGATGAAAAGGCATACATGCACCACTACTTAAACCAATGAAAGCCTACTGTGAAGGACAGAGCTTGTCGATAAGGCTGATCAGATTCCGACGTGATGGGCAGCCAGTGAATGAAACAGACACACTCGCACATTTGGAAGTGAAGGATGAAGATACAACTGAGGTGTTCCAGCAGCAGACAGGAGGCATCTACTAACAAGGGGACCTGCTGCTTTACTCCAGAACTCTCTGCTTACAGACCAAGAATACATTCTCAATTAGAAAAATGCCAATTTGGTTCCACCACATGTCGACTACAAATACGGTTCTCTCCATTCTTTTTCTCCTTCCTTGTTCCTTTATTGTACATAATCAGTGTATGAGCACAAGCATATTTTTTTTAATGGCCTATGGTTATGTTCTGATTGACATGAAATGGAGACGGGATGGGGAAAAGTACAAAAAGCACTGGCTCTGTGAGAAGACTCCCTCTTTTCCCTAGTGGCACATTCATTCAGCTCTTTATGTTCCAGAGAGTTATTTTGCAATCACTGTTCTAAAAAGAAACATAAAAATCCTTGTATACCTTATTCAATTGGAGAATTTTAATATTTTTCATTTATTATTGTAGAACCAAGAACAATTTTATAACATCTTTTATATGTAACTGTTACATGTAGGGCAATCTGTCTTTAGGTAAATTACTGTAAGTCAGTCCTAGATAGGTTTCCCTTTAAGCCAAACATCTTGTTTGAATAAACATCATTGAAAATGAAACAAAACCCAAATCTCCTACGCAATAAATTGTTAAACTCTAATGACTATAAAATATGACACAAAGATTATAAACCTTTCATTCATGTATTTTTTTTTTTTTTTTTTTTTTTTGAGACAGGGTCTTACTCTGTCACCCAACCTGGGTCAATCAAAGTTCACTGAAGCCTCCAATTCCTGGGCTCATGCGATTCTCCTGCCTCAGTCTCCTGAATATGTAGGGCTATAGGCGCACACCACCAGGCCTGGCTAATTTTTTTACGAAGTTTTTTTTATAGATGGGGGTCTCACTATGTTGCCTAGGCTATTCTTCAACTCCTGACCTCAAGCGATCCTCCTGCCTTGGCCTCCCAAAGTGCTGGGATTATAGGCATGAACAATTGCTCCTAGCCCATTTAAATACATTTGGAAGCTAAATTTCTAAGTCATCCTTCCAGTAGATTTGAAATTATCATTAATACAAATGAGAATTCTTTAAGTAGGTTGATAAATAAATTCATTTTTATTTAAATAAATTCATTTTTTGTTTAAAAATTAAAATATGTATCACTGAACAATAATTCAACTAAACATGATTTGAAAAGGGAGAAAACAAAGACTTTTGAAATGTTCATCTATAATAAGAAATCTTTACCTGGACCTGCAATTATCACAGCATTTTTCAGTTCCTATAATTTCCAAGGAGGCTTTTCGTAGTTGTTTGTCCTCAAAATGAGACAAGATGATTCTACCCAAGAGAAAATTTTAAATTAAATAAAAGAACAAAAACATATATGTTAAATTCATTCCTGAAAATAATGAGGTAAAATCATCATTAATTGATTCACTTGGGACCTCATTATTTGACTTCAGTTTATTCAGGCAAAAAGAAGGTTGCCTTAAAAATTCAGCACACATGTAACAGCAACAAAACATTTCAAAATACTTCAAACTACTTAGCAAAACTTTTTTTCTTAAAGCAATATGGAGATACCTTAAAGTGATACAAGTAGATCTACCATTTGATCCAGCAATCCCATTACTGGGCTTGCTACCCAAAAGATCAAATGACACTCTATAAAAGAGACACCTGCACTCGAATGTTTAGAGTAACACAGTTCACAGTTGCAAAGATGTGGAAACAACCCAAGTGCCCAAAAATACATGAGTGGATTAATAAAATGTGGTATATGTATATCGTGGAGTACTATTCAGCTATAAGGAACAATGGTGACATAGCACCTCTCGTATTTTCCTAGATAGAGCTAGAACCCATTCTACTAAGTGAAGTATCTCAAGAATGAAAAAATAAGCACCACATGCACTCACCAGCAAACTGGTATTAACACCTAAGTGGACATATAGGAGTAACTTTTATTGGGTGTCAGGCAGATGGGAGGGGGGAGGAGGGTATGGGTATATACATACATAATGAGTGCAATGGGCACCATCTGGGGGATGGACACACTTGAAGTTCTGACTCCGGGGGAAAGAGGGAGAAAGGCAACACACTAAACTAAACATTTCTACCCCCATAATATGCTCAAATAAAAAACATTAAAAAAAAACTTTTTTCTTAAAAGCATCCATAAATCCATGTTATTAATTGATATAAAATAAATGATACATACTGTCGCCTACAACTATTGGAAAGAAGATATTTTTCCATCTTTTCCATCATCATTAATTTGTATGATCGAAACTTTTCATCATGTAGCTCAGTAAGGCGGTACCTGTCAATTAAAAATATAACAGGAATATGTTAAATTATATTAGCACTTTTGTTATTTTATTTACTTAACTATTACTGTTTATTTTTCATAAACTAGAAAACCCACACCCCTATAAAAATAAAGTTTTTTTCACCCCAGAAAGTTCTCTCATATCCCTTCCCAGCTAATGCCCCACATATGATGTATTTTTCTGATTTTTTTTTAATGAAAATTGCTTTTGAAAAAATTCTACCTACGTCCAAGTATCAATTCTTCAGCTGCCTTTGAAAAATTACTATAAACCCTAAGGTTTTCATTTTGATTTATATGTCACAAACTTTTTGGCTTACACCAAGCCTTCTATAATATGTCAATTTTTATACTTCCCCAATAAAAATGTTATTATTTCCTATAAGAAACTAAAAGCATTAATGTAAGAAATACTGAAAGAAGCTCATGACCCAAATATAATCCAAATATTAGCTCTTCAGTACTTCTCAGCCCTCTAAAACTGTCTCTTGGTATTATGGAACACGTAACAAAATTGAGTTCCCTTCTCAATTATAGCTGATTTTTTTGCCATAATACTGAATTTATTTAAAATTGTTAAAGAGATGTTTCTTTTTTTAAAGTCAATGCTGCTATAATTCATCCCGACTCTCTTCATTTCTAGTCTTCTGTAAAGAAACTCCATGAATATCAGAAATCAGATAATGATGATCTCCCAAATAGCTTTGCAAATCTTCCCAAGAATAAATAAAAGTCTAGGTTACATAGATTTCAGATATTTTAAAAGAAAGCAATGATTTACCTACAATACCTAAGTGATCATACTAATTTGTATCAAGATGGACTTCACTCACTAATATTTTGACTATTCAACCTTCTGACTGATTAAAATTAAAATACCTCTGTATTATTCTAAATGAGTTCTGGAAAGTCCAAACACACAAAAGCTGTTACTCAAAAACATTTTTGTCATCTGACACCACCAACCACCATGCCGCCCTTCCATGTAATTTTCCCCAACGCCTCTTCCAACTAGTTGACTCTAGTTCCAGGTTAACCATATACAGTGGTCTCCCCTTATCCACAGGGGATACGTTCCAAGATCCCCAGTGGATGCCTGAAACCATAGATACTACCAAACCCTATATATGCTATGTTTTCCTCTATACGTACATGCCTATGATGAAGTTTAATTTATAAATTAGGTACAGTACTGTGCTTTGGGGCCATTACTAAGTAAAATAAGAGCAACTGAACACGCGATACTGCAATGGTCAATCTGATAACCAAGATGGCTATTGAGTGACTGACAGACATGCAGCCTGTGCAGTGTGGATGTTCGGGATAAAGCGACCATTCACATCCCAGGGCTGACAGAACAGAGCGGCGTGAGATTTCATTGTGCTACTCAGAACTGCTGGCAACTTAAAACTTATGAACTGTTTGTTTACTTCTAGTATTTTACATGTAATATTTTTGGATCGCAGTTGACTGTAGGTAACTGAAACCGTGGATAAGGGGGAACCACTGTAATCTCATCCTTCCTACCTTAAGGGCTAAACATCGTTTCTTTTGGGCGTTATTTTGTTTGTTCATTTAGCTCACCTCCTCCTCAGAAAGAAAAAACAAGGAAAACAAAACCTTACATTCTCAGAACTAGATTCTCCCTTATCTTTGGTTCAGATGAGACCTACATTTAAATAATCTCAACGCTGTCGGTAACAAATTTGAGAAAATAAAACTACAAGTCTCTCACTCTCTCATATGTCCATTTAAGATCTCTGTTTATTCAGCTACCTGGAGGTGTAGTTTGAACATACTTTATCTTGGCAGCCCCACTGGTTACCATATATAGGTTTCTCTCCTGAGGTTTTTTGGGTTTTTTTTCCTATGGATAACTGTAAGTTGGTAAATGCTGTCCCTTAAAATTTTTGCAAGATGAAGATTTCTTTTCCAATATAAATCTCACAGAACTTAAGTACCAACAAAATACTTGTTTAGGAATTAAACAAAATGGTTTTCCTGTATTTAAATACTGAATTCTTAATATTTTTTCAGGGTAGTTTTATCAGTACAGCACAACATAATTATTCACACACAATCAGGGAGAGCTAGCACGCTCTCATGGAACTAACCAAGGAAAGAAATAGTAAAGATGGTCAAATAGGGATTGGCACAAGTCTTTTGGAATAATCACTATTATACCATGGGAAGAAAGAACCAGTAACAAAAATAAATGGTATCTGAAATAACTATGGCTGATGACATATCACCACTTGTGAGGATCTGAGGATGGGGAAAAAACCATTCATTGATACACAATAGCAGGAAGGGATTCCACAGGATCTATATCACGTGCCCAAGTATAATCCCGATTTAGTTAATTTCCCGCATTACCCAAGGCATGGCTGAAATTAGGTCATCTCCTCCATGTGGCAACACCCACCGCAAGTATTCACAGATGTTCTCTGGGTTTAGGAGTATTTTTATGGCTTTAAATGTACTCACAAATTACTTGAAATCTTGGACATTGCCTCAAATACTTTCAAACATTAGGTGGAAAGGAAGAAAGAAATCTGCAAGGGTAAACGCAATAAATATCTTTACCTATGTATGTTCATGTCTACTGAAGCCCAGAGTACGTGACAAGAACTCTGAAGTCCATCACGACCAGCTCTACCAATCTCCTGGTAATATGACTCCATTTCCTTAGGAGCACCATAGTGAATGACTCTGCGAATGTCAGGTTTATTAATGCCCATTCCAAAAGCTATGGTAGCTATGACACACTGAGAATAAATAACAACACAGTTTGACAAACACATTTAACAAAATTAAAACCTTACATATTTATCTTTTGGTAAAACAATTTGCACTAACCAAAGTCTCTGGGATAAAACTGAATCTAATATAATTTCAACCAATCATTTATAGATTAAAAGATTATCTGCTAACTTTACACATTAAGGATTGGTGACTATAAAATGGGACTTCTGTTCACTCTATAAAAAGTTGTAAATGAAGTGCTTTTTCTGAACACCTGTGAATACAAGACATAGAAAAGACTTTTAAGATATTTACTATATAAATAAAACTTTCATATTATGAAGTTTTAAAAGATTCTCATTAAAGATGATAGAATGAAACATGATACATTATCCCTGCATCTTTAAGAGGATAAAACTGATAGAATGCCTAACATGTATGAATATACTGAGATAAGATTTACATGACTATGGAAAATTTTTGAGAAGAATTAGTGATAAATACACAGAAAACTAAACAAAAAATATGAATAAAAATTTAAAAATGCAAGAAAAATAATAATATACAACATGGCTTAGAAATAACAAGCATTTACATTTATATAATTGTATAAATCCTGTACACTGATCTAGTGAAGATTATGATATAAACCTACTGGGAGTAAAAGTAATTGGAAATGCCTGGACAAGATGGACATGGTAGTTCATGCCAGCACTTTGGAATGCCAAGGCAGGAGGATTGCTTGAGGCCAGGAGTTGAAGACTAGCCTGGGCAAAATAGCAAGACCCCGTTTCTCATGTCTTTGAGAGGTGTTTTCATCTAAATGAATAATTACTAATACATCAAGACAAAAGAAACCATTGGTGAGTTAATAGCTTGAAGATTAATTGTCAAGGTTCTGTAGTAGCAGCTAATAAATTTTATCTGACAATTTCAAGCCACTGAGATAACAGAATAAAATGTAAACATTCAAGAATTTGGGGCCGGGAGCGGTGGCTCACACCTGTAATCCTAGCACTCTGGGAGGCCGAGGCGGGCGGATTGCTCAAGGTCAGGAGTTCGAAATCAGCCTGAGCAAGAGCGAGACCCCGTCTCTACCATAAAAATAGAAAGAAATTAATTGGCCAACTAAAAATATATAGAAAAAATTAGCCAGGCATGGTGGTGCATGCCTGTAGTCCTAGCTACTCAGGAGGCTGAGGCAGGAGGAGTGCTTGAGCCCAGGAGTTTGAGGTTGCTGTGAGCTAGGCTGACGCCACGGCACTCACTCTAGCCTGGGCAACAAAACGAGACTCTGTCTCAAAAAAAAAAAAAAGAATTTGGATAAAATTTTTAAACAGTAGTGACAGATGTTTCTAACTTTGGAAAGAGGAGAAATAAAGACTAGATGCTTTCAGGCAGGTATGCAGCACAGCATGAATATGCACAGTGAACTTCACAGACAGGGTATATGAACCAGACTTAAGTGGTTTAAACAATGTTGGCTTGAGGTGGGTAACAACTAGATATGATAGAGAGGGTCAGACAGAGAGGAAACAGATGGACAGAAAATGCCAGAACTGAAGTTCAGTTCATCTCTTGAGAGGAGGGCTATTCCATAGGCTTATTGTAAGAGTATAGATATGATATTGATAGTGTCAAGTTGTTGATTTAAACCTACTTAAGTGTCTTGAATTTAAATTCTCCCAAATACTCTCTATGACACCCACTGAACCAGCCCAATCATTACAGGAATCTCAGCTGTAATAGTAATTTCACAGGAACTTCATCTATACTCTTTCCTTCTGCAATTTCTCTCCTTCAAATCAATCCTACGTAGTTGCTGCCAGTCTAATGTTTCTATAATACCATTAGCTTCTCAAAACCTTAGAGTAGTACATCATGATAGTTTCCAAACTCTATTCTGTGGCGCTCTAAGGATTGAAAGACACCCATGAGGACTTTCTTAGAGGCTGGAAGGCTCTTGGATCTTTTTTTCTCACTCTTCAACTTCAACCAGAATTATTCTACTTTAATCTGTTTTACCTATTAGATAAACTTTCGTCTAAATTTGAAATTCTATGGTTAAAGTAGTCTGGGAAAACTAGAGGTATATGACATACACTAAGCTTAGCCTGCCTCTTTACAAGTTTCAAAGCCATCTATAATCTGGCCAAACAACCCATTCAACATCTTTCCTATGAGTCTCTCATAGTTGCTCCCTATCTCTAGATTATTGCTTTGTGACAGTCCTACTACAACTCTTTCCCTCCAGCCAGTACAAACTTGTCACAATTTGTTAGATCCCGTATGCACTCTCATATCAAACTGTCTTTGCACATTCTAGTCCTTTTTTCTGGAATTCTATAACCAATTCCTTTCCCCTCATCGCCTGCTGCCCTGGCACACTTGACAAAGTTCTATTCACATGTTCAGACTCTAATTACATCTCCCTAGATAGACAACCCCACTTACACAACCTTCCTTGACAGAGCTGGTGCTGCCTCTGTGCACTTAAGCACTAGGTACACACTGCTATTTATACTAGCCTGAGACAGTTTATCCACATACCTATCTCTCACACTACACACTGATTCTCTGTATCAGAGGGACTGTTTTATGCTCAATACAAAGAAAGTATTCATAAACACCAGGAGAATTATCATTTGAGAAATATCTATTTCCACTATGGAGAAGAGAGAATAAGGATGATTAAGCCTCACACCTGAATTTCATCTCTCATAAACTTATGATGAGTCGCTTTCCTTTGGGCGAAACTCATGCCTGCATGGTATGTTCCACAGGATAAATTCAGTTTGTTAAGTTCAGCTGTAACTTTTTCTGTCATTTTTCTGGAAGTACAATAGATGATAGTTGGACCTTCAAATTCCCATTCAGAGCTAAAGAAAAAGAAGAACAGAAGAATACATATATATATATATATGTATACATATATATATATATATATATATATATATACACACACACACATATATATTATATATATATGTTTCAGACCAGTTTGGGCTTTATCTTATTTTTCCTTTCTACTTTCTAAATAAAAGGCTAAAAGGAGAAAGCATATCGAAAACAATGATATATTTAAATGAACAAAAATTTAAAACATTATGGATAATCAAATGTGGAAATGAATTGTGGTAAGCCTCAGAAACTCAGTTTTGACTCAGTTTTGGTTCAAATTAAAGTTAAAACCATAAACAAGTATATTTGTTTTAGCTGAAACCTTGATAAAAAAACTTATAAACTACTGATAAAAACACTTTAAGGAATGCAATGCTCTAAATTAACAATTAGTGTTAATTTACATGAGAGGTAAATAAATATTTACACAGGAATATGCCTAAAATGTTACATTGTTTTTATTTTCTTATAATCATAAAGCTGAGTTTCTGTATGTTTACTAAAAGAGATTTCATGTAACAATGAAAAATTGTTTTTATAGCTCAAAGAAGTATTTACCATTAATCTTGAGACTGAATGTTACAGAAAATAATACCTATTAGAAAGTCTGTTGTAGAAACTTGCACTTATTAAAAGTGTTAACAATTTCCATGTTCTATTTCCATATAACATTTATTTAGTGACTCAAAATACTCCAAATTTACATTAATGCATTCATTTATGCTGACAATCAATATAAAAAGACTGTACTAGTTTAGATTTATGAAAAGTTTTTTTGTTACTCTTAATGCATATACCCTGTAATTCATTTTCATTTTAGGATTCTAATTTACAAAAATACTTGCATATCTGCCAAAACATACATGTACACAGCAAAACTATAATAGTAAAAAATAACCTAAATGTTCATCATTATGTGTACTCACACTATGAAATATATTAAGCAAACATGTAAAAAATTAAACATTAAAAAAGTTTATAAAACCTTTTTTTTTTTTTTTTTTTTTTTTTGAGACAGAGTCTCACTTTGTTGCCCAGGCTAGAGTACCTATAAAACCTTTAAGAAGGATTATAGCAAAAGTCACTGAAACTTAAGCAGAAGAAAAAAGGTAATAATTTCACTGGAAGTCTTACTGAATAACATACCAAAGCAATTTTTGATTGTAACCAAACAGGTTTCAATATCAAATTTACAGTATACATCAGAGTGAGGGAAAAAATATTTTTTTTTACTATACACAAATCTTATTTTCAAAACATGTTTTCAAAGAAAAAAACTGTTCACCAAAACTTGGATATCTTATACAGATAAGGCCCTAATTTAAGAAAGCACAATATATGGAAAGATAGCCAATATTCTTAAATGAAAAAAGAAAATGACAGAAGAAATGGATATAGTATGAAACTATTTCTGCATAAACTTAACAAAAAACTGGGAGTGTGCATCTACACAGTAATAGTCAGAGAAAAGAAGTCTATACAGCTAAATGCCAAAATACCAACAGTGATTATAACTGAGGAATGGGACTGAAAGACTGAATTACTTTTCAATTTACATGTATCTGTATTGTTGCATGTATCTGTTGAAACTTTGATAAAAATTTATAAATTATTCATACAAATACTTTTGGGAATGCAATGCACTAGATTAACAATTAGTCTTAATTTATGTAAGAGAGGTAAGTGATTATTTACATAGGAGTATGCATAATATTTGTTACACTGTTCTTATTCTGTCTTAGGATCATAAAGTTGAGTTTCTATATGTTTACTAAAAAGCAAGAGCTAGGCCAGGTATGGTGGCTCACATGTATAATCCCAGCACTTTCAGAGGCCAAGGAGGGATTCACTTGAGGCCAGGAGTTTGAGACCAGCCTGAGCAACGAAGCAAGACTCTCATCTCTACAAAAAATAAAAACATAAGCGAGGCATTATGGCACTACCCGGGAGGCTGAGACAAGAGGATTGCTTGAGCCCAGGAGTTTGAGGTTGCGGTGAGCTATGATCATGCCACTGCATTCTAGCCCAGGCAACAGAGCAAGATCCTGTCTCAAATAAACAAATAAAAAGAGCTTTCTTACATTAGGTTATTAAGTATTACATATCTGATTTCCTTAAGCACTAAGTCTGACAGTTGCTATCTCTCGATATTTCACTTTGACAATTCTTGTTCTATGTTTGTTGTGAAGGTACATCCTCAGTCTTTCAAAGGCACATTTTGGCTCGTGATTATCTTTCACATTTTTTAAAGCAAATTTGTGTGAAACTATGGATAAGTCAAATTCATGTTATTTTCAAGTATGAGTTCCATCGTAGAACCAATGCAGCACAGACAGCTCAAAATATCAACGTGTGTGGGGAAGGATGTGGCTAATGAACGCACAGTACATCAATGGTTTGAGAAGTTCTGTTCTGGTGACTTTAATCTTGAAAATGAGCCACGTGGGCAACCTGAGACCAAGGTGGATAGTGATGAGCTCAAAGCTGCAGTGGAAGTAAATCCACCTCAACTTACATGTGAATTAGCAGCAAGGTTTGATGTTACTATTCCAACATATTGGCCCATTTGAAAGAAATTGGCAAAGTAAAGAAGCTGGATAGATGGGTTCTGCATGAATTGAACGAGTGTCAGAAGAGAAATCGTCTGGAAGCTTGCCCTTTTTTGCTGTCACAACATAGAGGCAAACCATTCCTACACTGTATTGTTGTGTGTGATAAAACTGGATTTCAATTTGACAATTGAAAGTGTTCAGCACAATGGCTGGATAAGGATGAAGTGCTGAAACATAGTCCACAGCTGAATATTAATCAAAAAAGCGCTAATGGTATCCGCTTGGTGGTCCGACACTAGTATTATCCACTACAGCTTCATGAAACCTAGTTAGTCGATTATAGCAGATGTCTACTGCGACCAACTTGATGAAAGGATGGGCATGCTTGCAATTAAGCAGCCAAGATTGATCAATAGAGATAGGCCCATCCTCTTGCAAGACAAAGCTCATCTACATGCTGCACAAATATCGCTACTTAAACTACAGCAGCTCGGCTTGGAAACTCTCTGTCATCCACCATATTCACCAGACCTTGCACCAAGTGACTACCACTTCTTCCAGGCTGTGGACCACTTCTTACAAAGAAAAATACTCAATTCTCAACAAGCTGTGGAAAATACCTTTGGCAATTTCATTGCCAATTGCTCTCCAGGCTTCCTCGCTGCCAGCATAAACAGGAAACTGCTAAAATGGCAAACCTATGTTGATAACTTAGGCACATATTTGATTAACTGTACTGCTTCTTATTTGAGAGATAATAAACTACACTTTTGATTTAAATCGGACATTTCATATTTAATGACCTTGTCTAAATTTCCTAAGATTGAAGTTAATCATGTAATTAGTGAACTAGATAGAATTCATATGAAAGACTTATTTTCTGTTTGTTTATTTGTCAATTATTAAGAGAATATGTCCTGTTCAAGCAACAGGAGTTATGATTTGTGAATTACATATTAAAATAAGGCATAATACCACTTCCAGAAGTTGCTTTGGAGGATTAAATATTAGTTAGTCTCTGTCTCAAAAATAGACTTTTTCCTCAGTCACTGATTAATCATAATAACACTACATTTGACTTGAACCAAAGCTGGGTAAAATTTGAATATGTTAAATATGCATTAGAATAGTAAATAAAATTTCTAAAAAGAAGGAAATCATTACCAAAATTCATCAGCCATTAAATCCTTACCTCGTCTTTTTGACAAGAAATTGTTTCAGATCCTGAAGGATATTCCCTGTTTTTTTTGCAACTTCTAAATACAGGTTTGGTCGATCAAAACCAGTACAGGTAAATTGAGGGTCCCTCAGATATAAGCAACGTGCAATGTCTTTCTGGATTGTAGAACTTGCAGTCGCAGTGAGTGCAACAACTGGAACCTGAATGAAGTGAAATTGATTTTTTTAAAAAGAACTCATTAATTCCCAACATTTTTACTGCTTTCTTACAAAGGACTGCCATACACTACAGGAGGTACAGTGTCAAAAATGCAACTTTAAATTATTCTTTTTTAAAAAGTAAAAAAAGAAACCTACTTAAATTTCTCCGTTTCTGAAATCAAATATTTACTTTTTAAAATCAGAAATCACTTAATAAAACATAAATCCACTGGGTTCCCAAATGCAATTTACCTTGTCTTATTAATTAAGCCTACTTATTAGCTATCCACTTCTCCATTTCTATTTTTACATTTATTACATCCACATAGTGTGTTATAAGCAGGCAACATATTATGCCTTATTTTGATTAATCTATAATTCATAAATTATAAACCCTTCAATTCACTGAAATCCTAACTATATAAAGCAATGAGTCTTTTTTGTTCCCTATATTAAATTATCGGTTTATAGCTTCACAAATCTAGAAGCAAAGTTCCCAATGACCTAGATAACCTCTCTCCAGTTTTCTAAGTTAACCAATGGCACTACATATAAGAAATATGTATAAAATGAAACACTGATTCCTTAAGCAACCAAGTCATGTACTATTTTTCCTCTAGTGAAGACTTCTTGACTGGATTAGCAGACACAGCAGGTACCAGGAAAAACAAACATATCATTTTTGAAATTCTAAGGTAGGATAACATATACCACTCATAATATCTTTGTTCCTATTATGGATAGAAGTATACTCAACTATGCTATTATTTCATAATCAGGAAAAATAGGCTATCTTAAAATTGTTCCTAAATTATTAGCTGTTCTATCACCAAGAATAAAACTTTCCTAAAAATATTCTTTTTGGGTAGGACACAGTGGCTCACAGCTGTAATCCTAGCACTTTGGAAGGCTGAGTTGTGAGGATCACTGGAGCCCAGGACTTTGAGACCAGCCTGAGCAAGACCAATCTATACAAAAAGAAAAATTAGTTGGTCATGCCTATAGTCCCAACTGCTTGGAAGACTGAGGCAAGAGGATTGCTTGAGCCCAGGAGTTTGAGATTACAGTGAGCTATGATGATGCCACTGTATTCTAAACCAGAAAACAGGTGAGATCTGTGTCTCAAAAGAAAAAAAAAATACTGTTTTGGTCTGTTACAGATACTAGAAATAGTATCTTCATAAAATAGCTCTTCTGATAACCTTCTCACAAACCAGCTTAAGCAATTATCTTGTATGTTAATGAAAATCCACGTGCAATTTTCCAATTTGAAAGAATTACTGAGTTTGACTGAAAACAGATACAATTTATCAAAACTTGTTATCTATTCTTATAATCAATAGCTTTACGAATTAAAAATTATCTCAAAACTTGTGTAAAAACAATCAAGTTTGGGCCGGGCGCGGTGGCTCACGCCTGTAATCCTAGCTCTCTGGAGGCCGAGGCGGGCGGATCCTTTGAGTTCAGGAGTTCGAAACCAACCTGAGCAAGAGCGAGACCCCGTCTCTACTATAAATGAAACAATTAATTGGCCAACTAATTATATACAAAAAAATTAGCCGGGCGTGGTGGTGCATGCCTGTAGTCCCAGCTACTCGGAGGCTGAGGCAGAAGGATCGCTTGAGCCAGAGGTTTGAGGTTGCTGTGAGTGCTGACGCCACGCACTCACTCTAGCCTGGGCAACAAAGTGAGACTCTGTCTCAAAAAAAAAAAAAGAACAATCAAGTTTGACAGTAATTTTTTCAAATAAAAAAATTAAATCAAAACCAAATTGACCAGGTAATTGCCTCATTTTGCATTCTTTATCCTTAAATTTTGTAAAACTATTCTAAAAGGTAAATTTCATTGTTGGCTTACAGGTTCTTTGAATTTAGAGTATCTGCCTAATGACTTAAGAGACAAGCCAATTTATAAGAGATTAGTTTTTTATTAAGCTCTAACAGATATATGTGTTAATATTACAAGTATTAACAACATAAGGCTGGGAATAAGGGATGTTGAAAAATTAAATTTCATAGGACATGTACATTCTCACCCTCACAAAAAGCATCTTCACCAATCTAAGTGTTTTAATCAAACACTTTATAAATGCACTATTAATAATGAAGTACTTATTTAAGTGCATATGAGATAAAAGAAGTTTCAGGATTTGCAGGACACAGGAAAAGAAGGTTGGGTTGTTTTAAGAAAACAATGTATGAGTGACAGGCAATACATTTATTGAAAATAAAGAAATGAGCATGAAACATCTTCAAGAATTAATAGAAAATCAGCATAAGAGCAGCATAGTGGTGAAAAAATCTGGCTTGGAATCAGATTGCCTGAGCCTAAATCTTGGCTTTGCCACTTTGTGAGATTTTGAGCTCTTTACTCTCTAGCTTTGGTTTCCTCATCTATAAAATGACTACAATAACAGCACCAATCTCATAATTGTTAAATGAAATTAGATAAAATACGTAAAGTGCTGAACGTAATGTATGCATATAGTAAGTACTCAAAACTGTCAACGATTTAGTATTGTTACTGCAACAACTGAAAGAATTCTATACAAGAACTCCAGACATGGGTACTACTCCCAGATTGCACTGACTTTGGAAGGGCTCAGTTTTTTCCCTCAAAAAATGAGATAGAGAGGGCTATGTAATCTGTTAGGGAACATTCCACTTAAATTTCCCATTTGCTACTAGCCACTCCCTATCCTATAAACTGTAATAGTGAAGATCGCTATAAAATCACTCTTAACCTGCTCGGTGGCTCATGCCTGTAATCCCGCATTCTGGGAGACAGGGTGGGAGGATCACTTGGGCTCTGTAGTTCGAACCAGCCTGGAGCAAGAATGAGACCCCAATCTCTACCAAAATTAGAAAAATTAGCAGGCATGGTGGCACGGGCCTGTAGTCAGCTACTCAGGAGGATCGCCTGAGCCCAAGAGTTTGAGTATCCAGTGAGCTATGACGACTCCACTGCACTCTAGCTGGGGCAACAGAGCAAGACACTATCTCAAAATAATAAATTATAATAATCACTCTTTCCCTCAACATTCTAGAAAGTGACAGTTAAAATATTGCTTCTACACCTAGAAATAGAAGTAAAGAAATATATTAACATTAAGAAACAATAAATTTTCACTTAAGCAATGGAACAGAACCTTTTCTCTTACAAGTATGTGATATTTTATGACATTTAAATTTATAAACTAGGGTGAAGGCTTAAAAATAAATACAGGCAGATTATGAGAAGAGTAACCACACATCCTCCTTTGCTGGGATGCTTCAGTTTACACTTGTAGTCATGGTACAATTATTAACAACTTAAACCCTTTCATTTTCAGAAGCAAACTGGTTTGGATGATAATTATACTGCTACCTATTTATACAAGTTCTTAACTCACAAAATCTATTAAGTTGCAAGTCTTATATTCTTCGGTAACAGTACAATTTATTAAAACAATCACCATATAAATTAATATGAGTATAATTTAGAGATCTTAGTCATATACTTGAAGAGTATGGCACCCACAGATTTGAGAGAATTCTAACTATTCCATCTGCTCCTAATTTACGTTCATGTTGCCAATTCTAAACTGTACTCCCTAACATCACATACTTCATTCATTCACTCATTCTCAACAGTCACAGTACTACTATGACCTGACCTTTGTAACGCGTACTGGGGAAAAGTAATGGAAATGATCAACGTGTCTTGCAGATTAATAGTTCCTCTATTTGAATTTTACAGAATTTAAATTGGGTGATATGGAGTTTTCTGCCTGGCGTTCTTTCTCAAACTCACTTTGTCTTCCCTAAAAACAGGAATTTTATTCTAAATGGTTTAGCGATCTTTTGCTTTTGAACTTACTGAAATAACATGGTGTGAAACATCCAGGTTGACACCAGTCGTCCTAGTTAATTGGAATTAGGAGGAGGAAAACACCAAGACAGTGAGATAATGACAGTCCTACAACCACCAGGTGCTTTGTCACCACTTAGTACTAAAGAAGAAGATTCTTGAAATATCGGGGAAAATTTTTAGCCTTGCTTGACAGCCTCCTTCCCTGGAGGCTCAACAGAAGGAATATGCTTTAGTAATCACACCAAAAACTGAAAATGATTCAATGACTCCATAGCCAGACATATTAAAAGATTTCATTCAAACTAAAAAGTGTTTAAGAATGGTATTTTAAAAAGCAGTTAAAATTCCTTTAACAAAATCCTTCTATTAATAGAATCAAAGGCCTAGGAAAGGATTACAGAAAGCAATCTTCCTAGTTTCCAAAAGCTTACTTTAAACCATTCTAAATTAATGGAAATCAGTCCTCCAGGGTACTGTACCTAGTGACTTTCACCATAGAAATCCCTATTACATGTACTATTAACACGATTACTTTTTCTATATTACTTGCTAACTGGCATACTCAAGTATTTTGTTGGTATGTTTTATTTTAATATCTGATCCAACCAAATTTTTATGAGAAAAGCTAACAAAAAGAAAATATGTTTAAGACCCTTCTCAATTTGCTATCTATAAGCAAGATTAATGAACAAGGAAATTGAACTAGACAATATACCAAAAGAATAACAAACAATTCTAACACTTTTTCTGAGTATACATTGCCTCGCTACTACCAGGAAAACTTAAACATAAGCCGGCTTTGTCGATTCATTCAAAATTAACACAGCAGGCTAGAGAACCCAGAATAAGACCCACACAAATATACTCAAAACAATTTTCAACAAAGGGCCAAAACCAATTTAATAAAGGAAGGACAGCCTTTTCAACAAATGGTCTGGAGAAACCAAACATCTGCAGAGAAACCAATGAACCTTAACCTAAACCTCACACCTTATACAAAATTTAACTCAAAAATGGATCACAGACCCAAATGTAAAACATACCACTATAAAAACTTTAGAGAAAGTAATCAGATTCTAGGGCTAAGCAAAGAACACAATCCATAAAAGAAAAAATTGATAAACTGAATTTCATAGAAATTTAAAATA